AACTTCGATCTGTAAAGCCTAACCAGCCATCTTTGTTAATATAGAAACGCCCTGAAATTATCGTGAAGCCATAATTCGTGATCAATAATCGTCAAATGCAAATTTATTTATCAAAGCATTTGATTTACCTCAATTAATCAAATATGAATTTATTGGTCTATTCACATAGCTAAACTTTTGCAAGAAAAGAAAAAAAAATCATCAATTCTCATGTAGAACTTTGCAACAGTAACCAAGAAACCATAATTAAAAATTAAAATCAATCCACAGATTATGTGAACACACGTGAATTGGACTGAACCAATATGAACAATTTTAAGAAAATTAATCAACAAACTAAAATCCACTAACATCGAACCTATGGTACAAGTTTCTACAAAATCAAAATGAATCCATAAAAGAAAAGTGAAATTCAAAACGAAGTTACAGTCAAACTTGCCAAGGAGACGAAAATACCAGATGGGCTGAGAGTATCACAAAACTCCGAACAAAGGCATAAAAAAGGGCAGATTGCTACAGTCTACTTCGCGTAGGCGAATTGGAACTACAACGAAGAAAGCTGAGCTGTGCCGCTCGTGTCTACCTGAGCTTCTTTCTCCCTTAGCAAAATCGCTAGCTCCATGTTGTAATTGTTGCTGCTCCCCTTAGAGGAGTTTCTTCTTCTTAGTTTCAGAACTTGAGATTTTTGAATAGTGGGATAGGATTTTATTTTGTGGTCGAGAAAGGATATAGTGGAAACCGCTGCACCGCCTCTAAGATGAGCAGCAAGGCACGGTGCGTGGAGAAAAGAAGAAGAAGGCGGTGGAGAGAAGAAATCGGGAGCAGAAAGGTGAGAGTAGAAAGGTAGAAAAACAAGTAGTGGAAATATCTACCCTTTTGCGACTTGGCTCGAAAACGGCTTGGCTCGGAAACGGCGACTTACTTGGCCATTCGGCTTGTGAACAGTATTTTGGAGTTTGAGTCTTTTAGTATAGTAGGATGATATGATGTCGAAGCTAGCACT